TTTTGAGAGATTTATTGACTAATTATGCTTTGTATTTTGTTTTGTTTAGTTGAACAAAGAATTGGTTGGAGGTTTCTAAAGCTTTTTAAATAATATAGCTCTATTGTTAAGCTGACAGAGATAATTAGAGTTGCATATTGAAGAGATTTCTATTGTTTGCTTGTTGATTAAGTTTTTGAAGAAAGTGTTAAGTTTTTTTACTTTTTGATTTAAGTATTCATGACTTTTACTACATATGAAAATATAGAGTTAATTCTTTATAGGATGTTCACGTCTGAAGTATTTAGGGTTTAAGTAAAGTAGTGTATATCATTTATTGAATTGGATTCTTGTAAACAGAGAGTTAAGAAGTAATTTTGTTTTAAAGTTTACAAAAGTTCTAAATTTTATTTTATCATTAGACTAATATTTTTTGTTCACTAATTGAAATAGTTTTAATTTATTTATAAATCCAGGTTATAAAATATATTAATGTCAAAAGTAACTGCAATTAGATTGCAAGAGTTGTAAATAAAATTTATTCAATATGTGAACTGGTATCTATTTTACTATTGATAATTAAAAACAAGCTATAATTATTTATATTGATAAGTGAAAGTAATAAGATTAGGCTATTAAAAAAAAAAACTAATAAAAAAACTCTTTCCGCTGATCCTCATTTTTTTCTAAAATTTCCTTTTTTGGTAATTTTCTTGGAAAAAGTGAACCAGTTCAAACATGCAAGGAAAAACAACATATCCTTTAAACCCAGCTACCAAGCACTTTCAATACACATACAACAAGTTGCCTAGAACCATCAAGGAAAGAGGTATACACTGCTTTACTAACTTTCTTTTACTTCTTTTTCTTAAAATTTTAGGAGAAAGAAAACAGACCTATAAACTGATTCACAGTCAGAAAAAAGGGAGCCAATATCAACTTCATATAGTTCACAGCCAGGCCAGTGCAGGTTAACACCTTTCTTGACACTATAAGAAATCCAAAAAGCAACTAAGCTCACTCGATAAATCAAGTTGCTCCAATTACTTAAAGGCTCAGAAGGATATCAAAGCTCCCTAAAGACAAGATAGTCTAAATGTACATACACACATAAACAACATATCTATCCCTGATCTGATTACACAAATACAAACACGTAAAAGCAAGACAAGCAAAATAAGCATACATGTAAAACTGACAAGCAAAATACACATGTACACGTACAACTTGTTATCCAAACAAGTTGATCGACATTCCACACAAGTACAATAGCAATTATCAGAGTAGGATAGAATTATCAAAATAAACAAATAAATACATTAAAACAACAAACAAGGTTTTTCCATATTACCTAATCAAACTACATAAACAACAAAAAGCTCAGAAAGGTTTATTCTTGACCTAAAAATAGATTATTGATAAATATAAACAAGCATTCACGTGACTTATCAATAAATATGAGCCAGTAAACATGAATAGAGTACAATGTATATTACAAATAGTCAATAAGAGAAAAGAAAATATAGTAAACACTCTAGTCAACCTCTCAAGAAAATATGACAAATACTCCACCCTATGGGCCTCACAACAATTACTACAACTAAGAAATAGTGAATCCAATGGATTGACAGCCTCACCACCAGAAACATATACGATTTTAGATAGTATTATAGCTAAGATATTGGGAGTTGATGTGACAACCTTTCACAAGGAAAGAATTTTAACTCAGCATATCACATATCTCTGGCAACAAGGCAAAGTGATAAAAGAAGATTTTTTACAACTTTACATTGAAGACAAGTTCTTGAAAATAATTAAAAATTCTGTAAACCTTACAAAACCAATGCAATAACCAATGAAGATTATCAAACAAGTAGATAATGAATCAATAGTAGATAATGAAGTAACAATGACATGTGTATAGGAGACAGAAGAACTTGAATTACAGGAACTCCAAGAAACAGTCAAATGACAATGTATTAGTGAACACAGCTCTTATACTACTAGGAATAGAGACATGGCACCATCAATAAATCCGTACTTCATAAAAAAGAAAGGAAACTATAGATTAGAAGCAATAGCAGCCAATATTCCAGGAAAAACAATAGATGAAACCAAAGCATACTTGGCAATATTCTTAAACTACTACAAGAAAAAGAAACCTGTTGAAAAAAGAATTTATTAATGAAAATGAGTGGATAATCTTTTGGGTACAAGAAGAAAAAGATGTTATAAGATATATAGAAGAAGTTAACTGAAAAGAAGACAACTTCACGATTCAATACATAATACTCCAGACTATCCTCAAGAAACAGAAAACAGAAAGAAACTTAGACAAAAAAGTCTTTCAAGAATTAAAAACCAAAGAAAATACTGAGGTTTGGCATATATGTCTAATAGATGTGGATCAAAAAATCAACAAGAATCTTATAAAGGCACATCTAAAGAGATATGGAGAAGTTCAAAATGTTCACATCTATGAGATAAATATAAAACCATGGGTAAAGGCTTATATCAAATGGCACAAATATCTTAGCTTAAATCCTGAAGAAATTTGGATGATCCCAATCAGTACAGAAATGTCTAGAGCTATATTTTCTAAATTTGAGCTCAGCGACAATGAAATCAATCAGATATTAATTGAGAGAAATGATAACTCAGCAAGACTTCTGGATACTGACAAAACCTACACTAGCCTGATAGTCAGAGCATTAAATGGTACTCAAGCTAAGGCATGCTATACACCCAAAAATCCCTATACACTCAAGAAGTGTAACTTCACAGTAGTCTGCTTCCAAATGAAAGAAGAAAGAGATAAGATATATAAACAACATATCTTCTTGTAGGGATATCACCACTCTTGAAGTATCAAGCATGTTTCTAAAACAGAAAGACAAAATCCTAAAAATGAAAATAGAAATACAAGATTTAGGTCCAGAAGCATAGAAGTAGATAATGAATCAACATTGGATACACAATCATATAACGAATCAACAGACTCTACTTCTATTTTGCCAAGTCATCATAGCTTTAGAAACCAAAGATGAATTAAATACAAAAGTAACAACAGAATAGAACGAGGAAAGAACAAAAGAAGAGAACACCCCATAACAGGAAGCAATAGAGAATCAATTAGAAATTAGCAAAACAATAGACATAACTTTCTGGAAAATAATGGGAGACTTGAAATAGAAAGCTCTCAAGATTCCCTTAAGAGTATTTAAGTCAATCTTGAAAGATTACATGCTAAAATAGATACTTTAGAAGAACAAATAGTCTCTAGAAGATCTAGACTAAGTAATAGAGGAGCAAACTGCTTCTAAGGGTGCACCAGTCCTTGATAATAACCAAGAGAGGCAAGAGCCCACTGCCTTCTTGTCAAAAAATACAAATATGGGCAACAAACAAACTTTAATAAACAAAAATGAGTTGAAAGAAATGAGATTTCTAGATATCTCAACATTTTTACAAGATGAGCAAGAAGATTTTTTAAACAACAATAGTAGACACAAACTAATCAAGAAAATTCAGGAAGATGAATATATAGATAAAAAAGTGATTAGAATCGGCACACACAATGTCAAAGGGATCACAGATATAACAAAACAGCAAAACTTGATTGAAAAAATACTAGAACAAGGAATAGACATATTAGGGTTATATGAAACAAAACTAACACAAGTCAATGTACAGTAGACATTCAACAATCAAAAAGATTATAAACACTTCCATAGTACCAACAAAGATACACTATTTGGAGCAAAAGTTAGCCTCTTGATTAGAAGAGATTTGAAAAAAAAGGTAGAATCAGTAGAAAAGGAAGAAGGATACATTATTGTCACCAACATGTTTATGAAAAGAAAGAAGATCTGTATTATACAGGTCTATATTTCTTCTGATAAACTAAGGTGTAAAATGGTACAAAATAAGATAACTAATCTTATTAAAAGAAAACATGGACAAGGCTTCCATACAATAGTAATAGGAGACTTTAATATAGCCTACAACCCATCGGAGAATAGAATATCTTCTTCCAAAGCAAGCTTCAGTCCATCATGGCGACCAGAAATTCCACTATTTAATTTTCTCGATGAATGAGATTTTATAGATACGCAAGCTACATGGGAAGGCAAAAGAAAACTCCAACAAGGAAAAATCTAACGAATAGCAGTAGAATAGACTATATATGGATTTCCTTTAGTCTAACAAACTATCTACTACTCCGATTCGATAATCAAGACATGGAAGATGTTATGGGGAGTGACCACACCATGCTTTTAATAACTCTACATGACAAAGATCTTTTTACAAGAAGCAGAATCACAAACTCCGCAACAAATATAGTAAGGAGAATTGATATAAAGGGAATATCTCCATCACAATGGCAAGCCTTTCGAGAAAGCATAGACCACAAATTTCAAACATCACTAGAACCTTTGCTTCAAGAAGCACCAAATCAAGGTAAAAAAGAGAAGCAAGCAAACAAACTATGAGAAACTTTTGAAAAACTGCTATGTAAGGCAGCCTTTAACAAACTGGCAACAAAGAAAACAATTCAGTCAGAAGAAAAGCATTACAAAAATAGTGCCGAATTTATCAGCTATAAAAAAGCATTACAACTTAAAGGACTTTACAACAAAGCAGAAACATCAAAAGAAATAGATAAGCTTCAGGCCCTTAGCTTAGCCATAGAAAAACATAATAGTACCTATAGTCCAAATCATAAAATCGAAAATTATTGTATCCAGTATAGTATCTCTAATATGCCATGGAAATTCTTGAAAAAAGATATCCAAGATATTATAGAAGGTTTCAAATTCATATGTCAAAGATTAGAAGCTAAAAAAACGAGAGATAGTATTAAAACTGCCTTGGAATAGAGATGCAATGATTTAAGAAACAATCAGAGATGAATGGTCAGCTCTCTAATCAACCAAATAAAAAGCAAAATAGTACTAAATAGGATTAAGATCAAGCAGAGGGATAATGAATACATTACAACACAAAAAGAAGAAAGTACTTCAACAAGTTTTTGCAACTGTTCAAAACGCAAAATCTGCACATCTCGCCAAAAAAATGGGACGGCATTTCTAAGGAACTGAGAATTGACAAGCAAACATTGTTGAAGCTGTTCGGCGGCTTCTGAATAGAGGATCCAGAAAATCTCATACCAGATGTTGTCATTGAGATGAACACGAGATAATGTTAATCCTTCTATATCTTGCTCCATGTTCTTGCTTGCCAAGAAAGAACCGACTCGCTTATATTTGGTTCGCAAAAAAATTAGCACGTGAGCAATATTGACAAATTATAACCAGGGTGGTTATTTTTCAAAGGGACTGGCGATCACTACGAACAAACTGGTTGGTTGCTTTTTGAATGTCACGTTTTGTCTTTATTTAGAAATTGATTAAAGATCTAATATATTTAAGTTTAATTTTGATTGATTCAAAAAATCATGAATTGTTAAGAAAAGTAATTAAATAGACAATTTTTTTTAAAAAAAGATTTACCTAATTGAAATATTCTTTTATTTTATTTTTTTTTATAACCCATGGTCAGGTCAGTACTATGTGTTTATTTTATTTTATTTTTTTTAAAACCCTCTGTCAGGCTAGGTACGTGTGCTTTATTAAACATGTGTATACTTTATATTGGAAAATATATCACTAAAGTTAAGACTCTACCTAACTTACTTGTCTCTGTTTTAAAGAATTATTAAAACTCTAAGTGCAATTTCGGGAGTGATTTATCATTCTATTAATAGTTCAAGTAAAGACCCTTCCAACTGTTAACTTCATTGCCTGCAGATCACTACTGCAGATCACTCTGCGATGTTCTGACAAAACTTAAAATCCCAGCTATTTCATTTCATACTTTACTCTTCTTGTTAAAATTTCCTGGAGATCTTCATCTTCGAGATTTCCTTCTTCAGGTAGTGGTTCTTTTTTCTTCATGAGTATAGATTTCAGGCTTGAAAGATGTGGAGGTCTTCTTGTCTTGTTCTTTCTATCAATTCCTTATGTTTTTTCCCACTCAATTACCATTTCACATCTCTTGTTCTAGATTTCTTTTCGAACTTGATTGCAGACTCTTCTTTGCATTTTTATTATCCATTTTCTTGCTATTCTTCCTATGCATTTACCTTGACATTT